TGAGAAGACATGAATTGGACTAGGTTGAACAAACCATGGTACTTGCTTGTATTTGCTGAATATGGTGCTTGCTTGTTGCTTGTAGGTCTGTGACACGTTTAAAACGGATTTCAGCAACTCTTTAAGGTTTTAAGAATTGAGAAAATGTTTTGTAAAACCTATTAGTCTATTGATGATTTAAAATCATATATTTTATGATGATGGAACAATGTTATTGGACATCAATGTGTTCAACAAACTCACTAATAGAATGCAGGTCTTGAGTGTTTAGTACCGGTGGTGTCTCTAAATATTTTTCATAATGATATTTAAAAGATTTAAATATTGGTTTTGCGTGAAGGTTTATAAAGTGGGATATGAAGAGAGTATCCTTGGTGAAAATCCCTGGATGCATGGGCTTGACCATAAATGCAAGCTCAACAAATCATCATCAAAAAACAATCTCAGCAAAGAACACATCCCCAGACATCTCACATTTGTGCAGACAACTATATTTAGATAATATTATATATATAATATATATGTATATAACAGCAACGGTTGATCATACAAGGCAAACTAAAAAAACGGTAAGTAAATATGCAATCATTTTCTCCATACTAAAAGCGGCAATAAAACACTAACATGTTGATAAGTCCTCTCACCAGCTACGGATATGAACATAAATGCAAGCTCCTGATCATTCAAGATATATGTTAATTTGGACGTGATTCACAAGACACGAGAATAAGCGGTAGGGACGTCTATGATTAACAAGTGGGACGGCCATTAAAAAGAGGCCAAAGTACGATGTGAACATGTATATAATGTATGTGCAACTTATCCCTTTTTTTTTGTCTGTTCAGATTCTACGGCTCAAAGAAAACACAACCAAAACCAAAACCAAATCACCATGCAGACTAGAGTGGCACTTAATTTGTGTACGTACACCTCACTGATAAAATTGATTACAATTAGCAGATTTTAGATTTTTTGCACTCCCTTTTCAGTGACCAAATAATTCGTCGCAGAAAGCCAAGGCTTTCATACGTAATTAAACGCTTTAATGTAAAACACAATTCCATCGCCGTTAATTCTTTTTGAAAATGTGGTGCGTAATCGGCTGTATCATGGATAAAGCTATATATATATATATATATATAGTGGTGGATAAAGCTAATGGTTCAAATCAAAGTTAATAATAATATCTAAATGATTATTGCAGCTTCGATCGCGTAACTCTATTTTGTCCCTTTGCTTGATCTATAAATTTAGTTAGTATGTTTAGGGTGTGGCGCCAATCAATATTGTCGGGTGCACTGGGTGGTGTGTTTACATGCGATGCTGATACATTTGTGCCACGTATATTTTATGTGATACTATAGATTTAATTTCAAATAAAATATATATTTTAATTATTAAGATAAACACTATGTTGTAATTATTAATTTTAATTGCTAAGTATTTATGTGAAAAATATTTATTTTAAGAACTAAAATTAATATATAAAAATAAACATAAATCAGTTTTAATTTCAAAATAATATCTTGATTGTCCAAATGTTAGACTATAATAGAAGAATATACACGATATTGTAAAAGGTTACACAGGGCTCTCCCCGACGAAATTATGCTAAGTATGAGAAACTCCAAAAACTGCCTCTGGATTTTAGCTAAATCTAGCATTTACCTCTATATTTTGGACAATTAAAAAAAAATCCCTTAGGTTTTTAGATTATCCCAAACTTATCCCCTACATTTTTCAAAAGAGTAAAACAAATAACCCTTTAGTTGATCAACATTTTAAAAATGCCAAAAATAATCTCAATAAGTACTATTTAGATATTATTTTAGACATTAATTATGTAAAAGTTTTAAAACATAAATTTTTAAACTAAATAAAATAAAATAAAAACCGAGTCAACGTGTTTGGATGACCGCAGAGCAGTACTAATTGTAGAAACCAGACCAATTTGATGAGTCCAAATCCACCAGTTTTGTATTAATAGTGAGGATGCAAGATTCTCTATGGAACTAGACTAATTTGATGGGTTAAGTTTTGAATTTTTTTCAAAAATAGAATTGATTTTATTAAAAATTTTACCTTTTTTCTTTAAATTTAGTGTTTTAGTTATTAGGTTTTAAGATAATATTTAAATCTTGATCATTAAGGTTATTTATGTCATTTTTAATAATTTGACCACTTAAAGTGTTATATTTTACTCTTTTCTAAAATAAAAAAAAAAACTGTGGTATAATTTAAAGATAATTTAAAAACAAAAAGGATACTTTGTTGCTTTTGAAAACAATTTTCAATGCGGAAGTGTGTATCTAGCGGATTGTGTATAATAAAAATTTTACAAAACTTTGAGATACTCCATAGATTACATTAATTTATGCACGAATAAATTAATCAAATTAATTTACTTACCTAGCGAACGATTAGGTCGATAACTTGAGTTCTTTGATCACGAACGTTCCTCGTTCCAAGTTTGTTTAGAATACTCGAATCTTGCTCGTTAATTTCTTGAATCTACGAAGACGTGTGTGTGGGCACACCTAAAATAAAATGGGATTAGCAACAAAACACTCAAGTTTTTCACGGACAACAACACATGCAAGACATAGAATTTAGGAGAAAATTTTTCCTTTCCTCACTCTATAAAATTCGGCCACCTATGCTAGGGAGATCGAAAATTGTGTTCTCTAATTTTCTGCAATCTCTCATTTTAGATATAAATTACTTCTAAACTGAGAAGTATCCATTTCATATAGTAACTACATATAGTTCAATTCTCCATAAATAATTCATAATTAGAGCTAGGTGAAATGCGTTAACCTCTCTAATTACATCTTCATCCTTGAGTACCATTGATTCTCTAATGGACAGTGGTTCATAAAATAAATTCATGAATCAGAGCTCCTACTAGTCCAAGTGCCAAATCAATCCCCAAGAGAATTATTTCTTTACTTCTTTCTCATGAATGAATGGATTTCATCTCGTATATTAACATTCACAAATACTCACTTCATCATGTCTCTAAAATACTAGGAATAGAATTCAACATTTCAGAATCTGTATCGAGTAACTCAAAAGACACATATCCATAAATAAGAGTCTGCTAATAACTCAGGATTAAGATTATTCTATATATGACCATCGGTAGACTCAATTAGAATTTTTATACTTAACGAAAATTATGAGAAATTCATATTGTGTTTGTGTCCTAATTCCACACAATCTCATTATGCATAATACACTCATTTAATATATCACTATATTATTAGTGCAAATAACACTATTCTATTTTAAATAGGAATGACATATATTAGTAATTTTTTAATTAAAGATTCTGAACTTTAATTAAATTCATTACGAATATCGTTTTGATTATTATCCTTAAATATTATCATCTCACATATAACACTTATATACAATATTTAAGGTCACAAAAATAATCATGAAATTTTCAGTGATATTCATAAACTATTTAATAAAATATGTACATAAAATAACTAATAAACTCTTTTATTAAATAAATAATAAATATCATATTACATCTCATCATTCTCAACAACTTTTTGGATTATCAAAAACACAAGGGTAAATATTGGATTTACCCAAAATTGATGGATATTTTTTAAATTTTCTCGCTAAACACCCATTCCCTACAGGGCATGGGCGGCTTTTTCAATCAGGAGTTTGGGAAGGGATTTTTCCACTCTCTGTTAAAATGCCAATTGCATAAATATGTCCCCCCATACGTCTAACACTAGGCTTTAGACATTTTTGGTTTTTATATATAGGATTTCTATTCTCTCACATTTTTCATATGAACACCATAACTAAACAGGTTTGAAGGAGAGTTGAAGAAGAGAAATTTATTGGTAGCCTTAGAAGGAGACAATAATTTTTTTATTGTCAAATAGGTTCAAAAAAATATATAGAACAATTTATTATATGGCAAAATAAGTCGATTTCTAGAGTTTTAGAAAAAGAATTATGGGATATTTATTTTAAGGGTTCATCACTGTTATAAATCATGGTTCTTGATTCTCTATAGTATTTTTCTCTCACAAAATATTTAAATTTCAAAAATTATAATTATGAATTATAATTCTGAACCCATGAACTAAACGCCCCATTAAAAATTTTCATTTTGATGAGTTATTTCCTCCATGTTCGGTAATGGAACACTAGCAACTAGTTCGTTGATGGTTTCCCTTCTTTACTAGGTTGGACAAACCATGGTACTTGCTTGTTTTTGCTGAATATGGTGTTGCTTGTTGCTTGTAGGTTTGTGACAAGTTTAAAATGGATTTCAGCAACTCTTTAAGGCCTCGTTTATTTCACCGATTCGAATTTTCAGTTTTAGGTTTCTACAGTAAAAAGCTCTCAGAAAATGTCACATCTAACTTTTTCTACTACAGTGAAAACTCTCAAAAAATGTCACATCTCAGCTCGAATTGAAAACTCGAATCTGCTAAGTGAACGAGATCTAAGGTTTTAAGAATTGTGAAAATGTTTTGTAAAACCTGTTAGTTTATCGATGATTTCAAATCATAGATTTTATGATGATGGAACAATGTTAGTAGACATCAGTGGTGCTTAACAAACCCACTAATAGAATGCAAGTCCTGGGTGTTTAACACCGGTGGTGTCTCTAAACATTTTTCATAATAATATTTAAAAGATTTAAATATTGATTTTGCGTGAAGGTTTATAAAGTGGGATATGAAGAGAGTATCGTTAATGAAAATCCCTAAACATGATTGGGCCACTTTCTGTGTGTGGATGCATGGGCTTGACCGTGGCAACCGTTGAGAGTTTTATTAAATTAAGACTCTACTTACGGATCTAATGTTGATTTCTTCTTATATACGCGATGATTAGTATTTTGTTGATTAGTTTAAAGAGCTCATATATATCTTTGATTGCTATCAAGAACAATATTAATCCACATGCATTACACAAAACAACTTCGACCTAGGACGATTGCTTCATAGAAAATGATGGTCCATAGATATTATATAGCATAGAAAGCTCAAGATAATAATCACATATCACATTCTACAAAACAATGTCGAGCTAGGGCTGTTTTTTTTTTTTTTTTTTTGTCCCTTCTCCAGTGAGGTACAGAAAAATGGATCAATTAAGAAACTTCTGTTTGAGAAAAGGAATCAAGTGACTGGATATAATATGATTAGTTTTCTCTGTCGGATGGAAAGCGTCCCAAAATAGATACTTATTTGCATCACTGCACGTAAATGGATTTAACTCACTGCAGAGATAACTCATTTCAAATGTCCCTGTAGAACAACATGCCACTCCCACAACCTCAAATCCTGTCAATATTTGAAAACAACGTCAGGGCTAACAAGAAATAATCTTTCACGTTAAAATGTGTTCTTTGAAAAAATAAATAAAAAGCAATAATGAAGATGTGCACGGGTAATATATTCACATAACTAACTATCACAGACATTTGGTGGAGAATATCTACTAGTAGCTAGTGTATGATTTGGATGTCAAACCAATGTACAAGAATATAAAGAACCACCAAGTTTGACGTATATTGACTATTCAAACAAATAAAATATCGGTTTCTACTCCCCACAACTCGCATAATATATATATATATATATATCATGTATAATATATATATCATGTATACATACATCTTATGGCTATTTGACAGAAAAAGTAATAGGAACAAGTAATGACATATCAAGATTTGTGGTCCCATTTTTAGTCTTGGTAACTGTCTTTTTAATTAAATATTGATGATTTGGATGTCAAACCAATGTACAAGAATATAAAGAACCACCAAGTTTGACGTATATTGACTATTCAAACAAATAAAATATCGGTTTCTACTCCCCACAACTCGCATAATATATATATATATATATCATGTATAATATATATATCATGTATACATACATCTTATGGCTATTTGACAGAAAAAGTAATAGGAACAAGTAATGACATATCAAGATTTGTGGTCCCATTTTTAGTCTTGGTAACTGTCTTTTTAATTAAATATTGACACATCGTGAATTGTTTAAGTATTTTTAGTATTCTCATTTATGTTGTTAGATTTTTAAATTTAACATGACAAATAATTAATGGAATGACAACCATCGAAATAAAAAAATAAGAACAATAGATTTGAAAAGCCCCTCTCACTTTCATTAAAAAGAGAAATTAGTTTTAGAAAAATTGTTTTTTAACCCCTACTAATCAGATTTGTTTTTTTCATACCTTTTGTTTTTATTTTATTTTTACTATTTCATTTAGTATTTTTTTTTGCTAAATAATAAAGGTTATAAAAGTAAAGGGTGACGTACCCTAATAATCTCAAGTGGTGGTCCCACTCGCGTCGATTTATAAGGTTCCTTTTTTAGGATTACTCATAAACCTCCGACCACCGCCGTGGGAAAGACTCAAACGCAAGACCAACTCAAGGTGAACGGTCTCTGTTGCCACCCCACTTGGGTCCCTCGGTGGTCGTTAGTGAAATAGAAGGTTGGCACGGACACTCAAAAAAGGAGTTTATAGTGTTTTTTTTATAGAGAATATATAAGTCCTATTTATTTTACTGATTTAAGTTTTATTATAATACAAAATTCTTAAAAACAGTCACATTTAATTTTTTTATTACAATAAAAAATTTTTACATAAAATTATTTTTTAATTCGAATCAGTGAACTAAACAAATACATAATTTTTTTTAATGTACAGAGAGAATTTATAATTGTGTAGCATATATATATATATATATATATAGGGCATTGATGGCCGATGAGCTGTGGTAGCTTTGCCTCATAAACATTAAACACCGAAAGCTGATAAAAGCTGCCTCCCACCAACTCCGAATTAAATGTAGCGCTAGTGCCGTTCGATGCACTGGATACGGCTTGTCAGCTGCTGTTTTTATAAGAAGTAGGTCCCTACTCCCCTATATTCCTAACCGTCTTTTGTGTTCGTCAGGACTCAGGAGCTAGTGATTAGTGATTAGTGACTAGTGAAACGACAAACGTAAACGGTAAAAGAAGTATTTGTTAAAAAAATATTTGGTAACTTATTCAGAATTATAATTAAGAATTATTTTAATTTTATGTGTATTTTTTATGAGATTGTAAAAAATTATAAATTATAATTTAGATTTTATTTATTTTATTGATTTAAATTTTTAATTTTAAGTTTTTATAGTTAAAAATTTTTAAAAAATATCAAATCTAACTTTTTTATTACAATTAAAAATTCTAAAAAAAATAACATATCTCAATTAAAATTAAAAATTTAAATTTATAAAATAAACGAGACCTAAAAAGAGTTGTTTAATCCCTTAGGTTTTCCTATTATGGATAAAATGTCCGCAGAGTACTATAACGGGAGGGAAAGAAAGGAAGGACTGTGTAGTTTGAAATTAAACTCATTATTACAAAATTTATATGTAGCGAAAGCTCTAAACTGTCCCTAGCTAAAAACATTTTAACGACAGTTGCACCAGTATTTGTTCCCCTAATTTTCTCAGAGAAAAATTACCATTACCTACTGTACAACAGAATATTCAAGCTTCAGTGTATACATATATGTGTGTGGATGACTAAAGCTGGTTGTAACATATAAGTGTACGTCTAAGACATTAGGTTTTGTTATTTTCACAACTTAAGTCATAATTCAAGTTTTATTGCTACAGTTTTTTTCTCACAAATATTTAATTTCTTTTTTAGTGTAATATTTTTCCCTCACATATACAACTTAAGTTACTTGAGTTGTGAAACAAACATACCCTAAATTTGTAACTACATGATTATAGGAGTTTCTGATTCGAAACTAGAACTAACAGAAGCAGATATCAAATAGATCACCAACCTAAACATATATATATATATATATATATATATGAATATATGTATATATATATATATATACATACTAGATGGCAAGATCCCAAGATATATTAGCTGCTTTCCGGCAGGATATATCAAAATTATTGCCTGTTAGTATCTCACGACAATATTATTTCAGCTAACATTGAGAGGTAGAAGTAAATTATGATAGAAACTTAACGTGTGGATCTTGTGAATTATGTTTGAATGCAATATCTTGTACCAATTTGTATTGAGAAAGTAGTCTCAAAATTGCAGGTTATTATTGCTATAAATGTGACAACCTACTTATGGACCCTATTCACATAATTCTTACATGTTGATAATGACACTTTCTATATTTGTGAATAAACTTCTAACTGAACCAAAAATAGATACCAATTAAATATCATAAAGACCAACGGGGAGCAGAATATATATATAAGCCAAACTTTTTTTTACCAAAATATCACAAAGAACAATTAACACTCAGTGGAAAAAGGCAGAAAACGGACTTACCATATGAAGAAGGCTTCTTAACCATGTCATAAAAGATATCATAAACACTATCCGTGAACACCAATCTAAGGCCACGGAGCTCTTGATTCAGCTTTGCCACCATATTCTTCAACTTTGCATTGAATTGCGCAGCCACTTTGTTATACTTCTCCTCACACTCATTGTGACCAAAAATATTTGTGGCTCTCTCCAATGGCAAGCACCCCATGGGGGGGACACCAGTTAGGGAAAATTTTCTAGCTCCAAGGCTGTGGAGTTTTGTGAAGAAATTTCGAGCAATCCCGACGAGGAAATCTTGGTACTCCTCGACGGTGAATTGGGATTGCCGGCGGGGGAAGATGTAGTAGTTCTCGAGGAAATCGTTTGTTCCTAAACTTACCAAATACAATGCTTGCCTCAAAATTCTGTTTGCCTTCCGATCGCCAAGATGGGCTCTCAGTTTGTTTTGGTACTCCTTGTAGTACTCCACTTCCTTCCAAAGTGGTATCACATTCTGCCATATAATTTTTATAATTTTTCACTATATAGGTTAAATATATAGATGTTATTTCAGCAGAAAAAGAAATCTTGTGCATAGAGAGCTGAGTGAATAAATAAATAAATAAGCCTAAATAAAATAATGTTTTTTTAAATGAATAAATAAACGCCGTGTGAGGTGTCACTAAATTCTCAATTTCTAAGTCGAAGTACATATTTGTCACATAAAATTATAAGGAACTACAATTGTACATATATAATCGATCAATTAACGCTGAAAATATGTTTATGATGAATAACTACAATTGTATTATTGATCAAATTAACATGTAAATATATGTTTTTTTGAAAGGAATTAACATGTCTATTCTAATATAAAGATTCTTACTCTTTTCACAAATGTATTGGGACCAATTCAAGTCTCGTATGTCATATGGTCCTAAAAACTTGTTGATTTTAAAAAAAAAAAAAAAAGGAATTTATGGTACAACAAAATAAATATATATATATTATAAAGATAATACATACATGCATAAATGATACATACATACATTCATACATACATGAATACATACATATATTACATATGTAATATCTATATCCAGCTTATCTAGAAAGCCAATGCACAAATAATATAAAAAAACCACACAAATGTGTTTAAAACAGATTATTAAGTAAAGAAATACATATAAAGTGCTTACAAATAGAAATGAAATATACTTACTAGTACATCAGAGGTTGCATTGTCGTAGCCAGTTCCGGCAGAAGCAAAGCAAACGCCGGTGGCAAAGTCCGAGATGTCATACATGGGATCCAAGTAAGCCGGAACAGCAGGTTTCAAGCCAAAACCCTCCGAGATGAAATCCGGCGGAATCCGACCATTGCAGAACCGCCCCGTGGGGCGACTGCCGGAGAAATCACGGCCGTAGGGCTTAAAATTGCTCTTCAGAAGTGTGAGAATCTGGTTGTTGTTTCCCGCATCCACTGACGAGTCTCCGAACACTATGACCGCCGGAACTTTGCCCTTCCTTGCCACCGCTGCAGCGGTGACGCAACAGTAGTACTTCATTGCAATTATTCCAGTCAAGAAGAGCCACTTTGGGATGTACAAGTAGTATGCCATCACTACTAGTAGAACTTGTGTATATCTATATATATATCTATATATGTAGCAACTTTAAAAATCTAGATTATATATTTGCTATTGGAGTTCTCCTGAGTGAAGAACAGAGAAAATGAGGAGTGCCTTTATTTATTTAGCTGTGTACGTGCGTGTGCGTGTGCTTGTGTGGGGTAGAAGTTTGGTTGAAGTTTTTAATAGGGCTAATCACTAATGGCGCATGTGATCGATGGACTACTCTGTACTAATTGCGTGTAGGTGATAGAAAATTATGGACTTAAAGATCTTTGACTTGCAATTTTTAATATTAATGAATTCTCGGAATTAAGACGATATTCAATTTTTAACATGGAGGCTCCGCCAAAAGAAAAGTTTTTAGTACTATTGTTGGGTTTTATTTAATTTCTCAATGTGGGCTAACATATGTAAATAACAATTATGTTTGAGAAAATTTTAAGTTTAACAATTGTTTTTTCTGACTCTATTATTTATGCCATTATATAAAATTTTGATCCACTACGAAAATAACCTGCAGGATACAAAAGATACCTGCAGATTACGAAAAATAACATACAGGATACGAAATATAATCTGTAGGTTAAAAAATTAACCTGTAGGTTATTAATGATAACTTGTAGGTTATGAAAAGATAATCTACAAGTTATTAGTGACGAAAAACCTACAAGTCATTAGTGACATAAGATAAATTTGACAGCAGGATAAAAATAAAATAATATTACTTTATTGATAGCATTTTTTAAAATTACCCATTATATTATGGGTTATCTAATTTAATATGGCCGAATAAGTGGTTGATTAATTGGGCTAAAAAATTATCTAATGGACATAGCTTTGTAAAGTGTAAAGACCCAATACTAGTCAAATTAGGGTCGATGGGATTCTAATAGACCTATTATATAAAGAGCATTAAAGAGTTATGGTCCCCTAGTCAAATTATTCATTTAGTTTTAGCTCTTCTCCTATATCCCCATCTTAGAGAGAGAACCCATTGAGCATTGAAGTGATTTGACTGTGGAAGGCCCCTAACCCCCCCTTGCTACCATTGCCATGGATTTAGGTAGTCTTCCTCAACACTCATTCTATATAATTTGACATGATGATCTTTGAAATATGTTTATGTGATCATGAATTTTATTCATAAAATGGAATCAAAAAAGTGGTATACGAGTGGAAATCTCACCTCTATCATTCCTTCCTCAACTTCTCGATCTCTCTCTTCTACTCTCTCTCTCTATCTGTCTGTTCTGCAGAAACAGATCTGCACGTCCATCCTCATCACGCTGTCAAGCACCACTATCCTTCCGCTCGCCATCATCTAGTTGGACGATCATCATTGGAAATCCCCAAATTTGAAATCTCAGGCCATAACCGTAGAGCATACACAGCACAATCACGAGACTAACCGAACGAAAACAGAGGAAATCGACCACCGGAGAAGCGGGACCATTGAGAAACAGAAGAAAACCTTGTTGATAGCTGGAGAAATGGAACCACTAAGGCCTCGTTCACTTCGCAGATTCAAGTTTTCAATTTAAGTTGAGATGTGACATTTTCAGAGAGTTTTTCACTGTAGCAGAAAAAGTTAGATGTAACATTTTCTGATACTGTAGAAACCTAAAACTGAAAACTCGAATCGGTGAAATGAACGAGGCCTAAGGCTCGGCAGATTTGAGTTTTAAAATTTTCAATTCGAATTAAGATGTAATATTTTTAAAATTTTTTTAGTTATAACAGAAAAAATTAGACGTGATATTTTTTTAAAATTTTTAATTATAAAAACTTAAAATTGAAATATTGTTGATCCAAGAATGAGAGAGCGTTACTGTAGATGGAGCACGGAGAGAGGGAAAAACGCAATAGAAAGAAAGATGATAGGTTCCTAACAAGAATATTTATGTGGGAGCAAAATTCGAAAACAAAAAGATTAAAACTAGAAATGGTATATTATTTTCTAATATTAAGTAAATAGGTTATTGATTACACTCAAATTGTGTATAGATAAAGCGGTCAATTGTAGCACAGTATGAACTGTCGTATTTACGAGGAGATGACAAAAACAATAAGAAAAATTAGCAAAAACAAATGTTAGAAGAAATAAACAGAAAACACAGAAAAAATATTTTTAGAATTTTTTTTAATTAAAAAGACGAGTATGAACAAAGAACAAATTTTAAGGATAAATCAAATGAGAGAAAATTTAGACAAAAACTTGTCACGCCCCCCAAACGGGGTGGGTGACGTGAAGCTCGATTAGGGATTAATAAAGCAGATTCCCAGACCGGGCCCCACACTTAACTGCATTAAAATATAAATAAACTACTACAGAAACCAGGAGCCTCTGACACACAAGGTTTCACCCCACAGGACATACAGTATCGTACATACATACTCATGTAAATAATCATTACAACAGGCATCAACCACAGTCTAGTTAATCCGAATATTACATAAGTTTACAGAATTTCTCAAATTCCTTACATTTGTATCAGAGGATAACCACAATCCTCACTTGATTCCAAAAGCAACACAACTCAGCTGCTCCGTAGCAATATCCAGCTACTATGCACCGCTCCTAGAGTCTCCTGGGAGGGGTTTAATACATTTGAAAAATAAAACGTGAGCGAAAGGCCCAGTAGGATATAATTTGAAATAAACGTTATAATAAATGTGCGAGGGAATACATAAATAAATAAGTAAATAAAATAAGACATTCAGTCCCGACAGAACAGCCGGAACCTCACATCCTTTTTCTCAAAGGAAATATAACTATAAATAACTGTTTTACAGGCTTCAGCAAGTAATTGGTACAAATTACTTACCTAACCAAGTGTCTCGCCTACCCGGACCGAGTTTCGGGTTCTGCCCCCGAGGATGCACTCTCCACATCCTATCTAGGCTTACAGCAATAGACTCTATTACCAGTTCACAAGATCTCTTTGCTTAAGAAATCATTCATTAACATTTTAAAATCGTTAATACGACCCCACGAACTACTCAAGCCGCGGGCCCTATGACTGGACAAGCCATGAGGTTCCATGACTAAACAAGTCATGGTTTTCAAAGCGTTTTCTTTTACAAATCAATCCCTTTCTTTAAAACATTTTCAATGCCAAAATCTTTTTTTGAAAACAGGCTCAAAAGGAAAAAGGGATAGAAATCCTACCTCGCACTATCAAACCTGGGACTAGCGTTGCCTTTTCCGGCTTCCGCTTCCTCAAGCCTCTTCAGTTTGAATCCTCAGCGATCACTGATGCAAAATAACACTTTAGGATTAATTCTCATTCCTAAAGCAATCCAAATCTCAATTTCCAACCAAGATTTCCTATTAGTGTGCCCTAATCCATTTTCATGTTTCAAATTATCATTCCAAGGGTTTTCAATCTCAAATCAATGATTAACAATGCTAATCCATTTATCTCAAGTCCCCAAATGAAGCTAATTTGGGTTCTCCCCGAAAACAGGGGTTAAAACAGTAATTTCAGGCCAAACAGGGTCAAACCCAGTGTCAACCGGTCGACCGGTGACAGAGCATTGCAACACTACCAGTCGACCGGTAGTGTGCACACCGGACGACCAGACAGTTCGACCGGTCGGCCTGCAATCCGGTCAACCGCATAGGTCGACCGGTTTCCATGTGATCCGGTCGACCGCACAGGTCGACCGGTGGAATCAACTGCGCGAGAGAAGCTCACAGAAATCGGTCCAAAACCTGTAAATCCAGTCCCAAATCGAGATATTTCAAAGGGAAACCACTAGATCTGGGTTCTAGGTCCTAAAACAAGTCCAAAGAACCCAAGATCTCTAATCTCTACCCTAGTTTTACTCAAAAACCATCAAAATCCGGTTTGAATCAAAAATAAGTTTTGAAATTCAAAAACTTGAGATTCAAGAGAGGTTCTTTCAGTAATCTTACCTCGAATCCTTCTCTTGACGTTGAAAACTTCTTTAAATCTTTTCTTGGTTCAAGATCCGTTTGATTTGGGACACAAATGAGAGAGAGAGAGAGAGAGAGTGAGCGGGAGAGTGAGAGTGAAGGAGAGAGAGAGTGCACAGGAAAGGAAGGAGAAAGGAAAGAAAAAAGGAAAAAGGAAAAGAAAAGAAAAGGAAAAGGAAAAGAAAATGACATGTGTCAATATTTTAAAAGAGCAGTCCAGAAATGCGCTCATACACACATCTGGTTTAAAATAAATTATTAAGAATAATTTAAAGACCTTGGAACTAGTTAAACTCACACGTGTCAGAAACATTTATTAATTAAACTCAATTAATAATCCAGATTAGGCACACTAATAATCTCAATTACCTTAATTAATCTCAATTAATTCTTCAGGGTGTTACAAAACTATATGATTAAAAACTGACGAAGCGTCGAGTTTTCCTTACATGTTGCGTTCACCAATTTAATTTTGATTATGATTAATTAACTCAATTGAAAGTTTCACATCTTAAACAATCAACCGAAAGATAATGAATTAAAGCACAATGAAAATAAAATGTATTCGAGTAGATTAAAGTCCTACGATAAAACTCAACAATTATTCTTACTAAAAATCTAAGAGTGACAATATACCACATGCAATATTACTAGAAAAGACTACTAATAAAATAACGTGAACAATATAATTGTGTGTGTAAAAATTACATAAAGAAATCGTGACTGAAAATATATAAAAATTGATAACACAAGAATATTGAAAAGAAATTGAAGATAATAGAATTAATAAACTTCAATATATCAACGTTACAGCCTAACTTTGAATCAAAACCCAAACCGGATCACTAAATATATAAGATCATCTCTAGCCTAGCCAAGAAAAACTCTAGCCTAACTTGCAGAACATTCTCACAAATTTTAGAAAGAAAATATGAGAACGAAAGCAAGATGAGAAAAAGTGAAGTGTGTTTTGAGAGCCTTGGCCAGCCTTCTATTTATAGAGTCTACGTGCTGCAAAAGAGATCAGAAAATATCTAACAAAATCTGGGAATTAAATTCGAAAATAAAATCACAACTAAATCTAGGGAGATCAGATAGATGATTCTGGCTTGATCTTGGGTGACAATTA